GGGTGCCCTGGGAGCTGCGCGCCGCCGCCCCGCACGGCGGGACAGGCGCGGGCGAGTCCTTCGCTGATGCAAGCCTTAAGCCTTGGCCGGTCGTTTTAGTTCAGCGAGCGTCGAATGTCGCGTTGATGAGAAGACAAAGCAGCTTTGACTCACTTTGTAGAGAAACAAATATGAGCCTCTGTTCTAGAGGTTAGCGTTAACAAGGCTCCAGGCTGAGGAGCACGGCAGAGCTTGTGTAGCCGTGTAGAAATGGGTCTTGCGAAGGCTGGTTTATCTCTAGTACATACCTGTTATGTCTTTGGCTGGTAACTCTTGATTCTTGAATGCACGAAGAACTCTCCTAAGATTAAGAGCATGGTCATATGCCTGCAAGACTGAAAGGTGATATGCTGTTACTACTTGTAGTAAGCAGTCTTAAAAATGATTTAAAAAAAAAAAAGCACCTTTGAAAAGCAAGACTGTTGCTGCTTTGTCAGTCATAACCACCTTTGTGTCCTTACCACATAACCATATCGTATCAGGTATGTGCAGTTACTAGAAAATGTACTTTGCAGATATTTGAGTAGAACAGATGTATAACATGTTCAGTGTACATGTTTAATTTATGTGATAGGCATGTGCTTCATTTACTTTCATCTGAGTTCCTCATAATAACTGTGTTATTAAACAGCATGGTTGTAGAAAACTCAAGGTCAATTCCTTTTTTCAAGCTCTTAGTTACATTGAAATGCTGTATATTTGGAGTACAGTATGAAAATTCTCTTTTGTATTAATCAGCCAAAAAGAGTGAGCAAGAGCTGAAGGATGAAGAAATGGAATTGTTCACAAAATACTACATGGAATGGAAAGGAGGAAGAAAAAGTGGCAATACATCATATACGAACATACCACGGTTTTACTACAGGGTAAGTGAGGTATCCGGTTAATACTTAAACCAGAGACTACTCTGCGTTATAAAGGGAAATTATGCATATTCAAAGGGGTCTTTCAGCCCCAGTATCTTAAGTAGATCCAGATCTGGAAAAATGTGGGTTATTAAGCCTACAGTGTGGGTTGCTAAACCACAGTCTGCAGTTGTGGATTTCAGCAATTTAAAATAATTAATTGCTAAGCATCCTATAAAAGGCCATGAAATAGCTTGCTAATGCTACTATTAACAGGAAGTAGGCTTGGCTGTTGAATAAAATGATAAAGTCCTCGTTCAGAGAAATTTGCTTCTTGTTTTACCTAATTTTTGATATACCAGTGTTATAAAATACACATCCTCCTATTCCTGCTTAGGCACAGTGGTATTCATGAAGAGAGTATGTTGTTGATCTGGCAGACTAAAGACAGAGCTGCTGCTTGCATCATCCAGCAGAAATGGAACAAGAGCACAAGTCTGACATTTTGGTATTGTTACCATTTGTCAACACAACTGCTCAACTACTGTGTAACCTCTGTGTAAGGATATTCCTTAGGAACGTGAAATTCTCAAATGCCTTTGTTTCAGTTGCTGAATATGCATGCAACCATTCAAATTCTGGTAGTGCTGTGCAGCTTCTCGTGTAAACATCAGCAGAACTTTCATAGTAGGCATCCTCCCATCCATCTTGCTTGCCAACTCTCATTGTTCTCGTCTGGTACACGATCTTGTCTAGTAGGTGGTCTCATCTTTGAGATTCAGGGCTACCATGAAATAGAAGGCACTCCTCTCTCTTCTGACTAATAGCACAGTACTAAAGTCTTCTATGTGGGAGCCCTCCTGTCGGGCAGCTGTGGAAAAGAGCTTACTAGGTGGGTTATCAGGTGTGCGGTAGGTCTTTTTCAGTTTCTCATGTCAAAGATGTCCTGCTTTAAATATCTCTTTCAATATTAAAATAATCTGAGACAGCATGCAAGTGATATTTCTCTATCCAGAAGAAGCAGATACCACACAGCATTCTGGTAGATATTTCAATATTTTCTGTGGAGTGGAACAGCATCAGAAGATTTGAGTCAGGTCTAATTAAGAATACTTGCTAGCTCTCTAGTTTTTGAATACTACTTCTGTACAGAAAACTCAAATGCCACAATGTTTCTAGCTGCCAGCTGAAGATGAAGTCTTGCTTCAGAAATTAAGAGAAGAATCTAGAGCAGTCTTTCTGCAAAGAAAAAGTAGAGAACTGTTGGATAATGAAGAGCTTCAGGTAAGGAAATATTTTCTGTATGTTTTGAATGGCTTTTGACAGAATTCCTCTGTCTACAGAGTTTTATCCTCTTCTGTCCGTCCGCAGAATCTTCTGGTGCAGTTTGTAAGGTGCTTTGTACCTGGGCGAGTTGGCTTGTTGTGAAGTACTGGCCAAAGCCTAAGTGCTGCGTAGTCTTAAGCTGGTAACCAAAGTGTAAGACTTGGATGTTATGGTGTACATGAGATCTAAATCAATGGCTTCTAGTCTTCCAGTGTATTCCAACAATTTCCCTAGTGACCCAGAAGAAGAAATAGGTCCTTTTTACATACCATTAAGAGAAACTCCAAGGATGGTTGTGTTTACTGTAGTGCTAAGACAAGAGGATGTGGCCCTAGAAATCCTAGTAACACATACAGGTGTGTATAAAACCAGTTCGGAGTAGTGGAAATACTGATTGCTTGCTTTTCTGGCTGAACTGACGTTGTGTTCTGCTTACCTGAGATAACCCTACAGTAAAAATGTGTTCTTGTATACACTGTCTTAAGCACATTGACATCTAGAGAGAGATACCTTCTTAACCAGATATAAATGCCTTTTAAGAATCTCTGGTTTCTCCTGGACAAACATCAGACGTCACCAATGATTGGAGAAGAAGCAATGATCAACTATGAGAACTTCTTGAAAGTTGGTGAAAAAGCTGGTCCCAAGTGCAAGTAAGGCTTCCCTCTCTTGTCTGTGCTTATTGTGGCTAAATCTAAGTGGTGCCATAGCTTTTGATTACTAAAGTAGATAGAAGGAGCTCAATGGTGAGGGAAATAACGTTCATAAAGTTGTTGATGAACTTGTTGCTCTGCATCCTTGCAAAGGTGTATTGTCGCACATCCTTGTAGGAACCTCTGATAGAGATGCCTGTAAAAGGGGGTACTGCAGCCTTTTGAAGAAGAAATCCTAATGAGCATTAGCATTTTCATGGTGCCAGAGTGGTCAGTAAACCAGCTTTCCCTGGCATCTTCAGATGGATAAATTTCTGGATGTGGATGTGTACATCATACAATGAATAGTCCTTCTTTACTGTCCTGTTAGAAGCTGCTTGTGCACATAGCTTTGTGATTGAGTTTTGGGCGGAAGCAGATTTGTACTGTTGGTTCTGTTTATGCATTTATCAGTGTAGAAGAATTGTGTTGTGTTTTCTTTTTTTTTTTTTTTCTGTTTTACAGGCAGTTCTTCACAGCTAAGATCTTTGCTAAATTACTGCATAACGATCCTTATGGGAGGGTATCTATCATGCAGTTTTTCAACTATGTCATGCGAAAAGGTTAGTTGATGCTTCCTCCGTGTTAGAGTTGTTTTATTTTCAAGGCTATTTTAAGCGTTGTAATTACTTGCTGTTCTCTTTTTTTTCCCCCACTTTACAGAATGTTATTATCTATATTTTATAACTTTACTTGTCAAATACATAAGTATATTCTTGAGTTAAATACTTGATCGTGTGTTTGTCGCTATAGCCTTGTCATGTGTTCAGCTATTTTTCCTTATAAATTAATGACTGGTGCTGAAAAATAGAATGGCTTGTTTATCTGTATTAGAACATATTTAAAAAGATAAGGCTGAGCAGCAGAAAGGAAGGCTGGCTGCCTTATTGCCTTATTGTAGCTACTGTGTTCTCAGGTCTGGTAGAGCCTTCAGAAGGGGAGGGTGGCACTCTTGCCTAGAGCAGCTGAGCTTGTTTGACTTGGAAAATCTCGTGGAGCAGGGATGAAGGGAACAAGAGATGAGAGAGGTGCTGGGTAGGAGACCTGGTGAGTAGAAAGTGCAAAGTATGCAATTCCTGGAAGGAGTAGTAGACCTACTTGCAAAAAAACAGCAGGTTCAAAAGCTGCAGCATGGAAGGAGGCTTCCTGTGAAGAAGAAATCTTTGAAAATCACATGCATTTCAAAAAGACCTACCCGGAAGGACAAAACAAAGATTATTTCAGAGGTCTTAAAACTTTTGGGTGAAACAAATGAAATTTAGTCTTGTGTATCCAAGGCAATACCTTTTCTTCTATTCTTATTAATTTTCTGCTAAAAAATAAAACAAACTTAATGCAGAAGACTTTTGGCTTTTAGAATGTCCCGTCTTGATATGATTTCATTTTCAGACTTTGGCCAGGCAACACAAGGTCCCATCACAGTATTTGTTGGCAAGTCCCATTTGAGCCAGTTGAATGAGGATCCTTTTATTCCCCTAGCTTTCAGCATTGCCAAGTAAAATTCGCCCAGTAGCATGTCTGTGCAGTAGCCAAGATCACTTCTATTGTCTGTTGTACAGATGCATTTTTTTCTGTGAGCACTAAAGACCAGACCAGCAACTGTTAAAGGAAAAAAGAGGCTTAAATTTCTGTAGGAACTTTGAGTTAGTAGTTTAGAGTGGAATTACTAATTCCATCTGTATTTATTGCTAAATATCCCTCAGTGTGGTGCTGAAAGGACAGGAAAGCGGCAGGTGATGGAGGGAGTCATTCCACAGCTGCTTAACCTGATCTACGTCTGGGCAGTGTAGCCCCACGTTTTGCCTTAAGCTGATGGAGCTCACATAGCTGAGGGGTCAGCCTCCAGAGAGAGTGATGCTGCTGCAGGGAAAGGGCTAAACCAGCCTGAGCTTAAATCATCTTAAACTGTTGTGCCTCAGATGCCTTATGGTATTTTTAAGCAATTTAGCAATTTTTTCTTTTATATGTTCATTATAATTTTATGGATAGCTGCATGCAGTCACATACTTGTCCCAAGTGCATAGTTTTCTGTCTTTCTTCCTCTTTCCATCCAGCTGATAGATTTCTTGCCGTCTCTGGATTACAGCCTCCTCTGTCTGCCTTCACAATATACCTAGCCCTTTTGAGAGGGGCCAAGAGAGCGGCAAAGTTAATGGTGAAGTGTTCCCCAAAGCACCACTGTGTCTGCTTCCAATGACATTTCCCCTTCAGGAGGAAAGGTGGTTGAGTCTGATAGCTTTGCCCACACAAGTAAAGCCTAGTAAAAGTGCCTTGGCTCACTTCAGAGTGTCTGATGCACTTTTCTTTAAACTCAAGCCGACGAAGAAACAGCCTTGCCCTGCAACGTTTACTCTGTTGTTCTTGAGTAGTGCTTAACCTGCCTTGACCAATACTTACCCAGAAGGGAAGAATGTTGGTATGAAGTTCAGCTCCTGGGTTTTGCAGGAGGAGTTTTAAATTGCTTCTTCACTGAAGTGCAAGTTAAATTTAACGTGGGGTGTAAATATTGCTTTTCTATGCCTAATCTGTACTCTGTCTCTCTTACTGTGCTCTAACACGAGCAGAGTGATGGAAGATGATACCTTCAGAGTTGGAACCATGAAGGTTCCCCTGGCCTATTTCTTGCAGTTGCTGCCGCTCTAAAGCGCATTGTCCTGTGTATTGTCTGATTACTGCACATTCTCAGTACAAAAGCAGATGCTTGTACTGCTCCAATTCTACTATTGTGACTCAGGGCTCTTGAGTGTAGCTGCAGTGCCTCATGTTGTAGAAGGGGCTGTAGCAACCTGTGACAAGCAACCTGAATATCACATCATAGAGCTGTCTCAAATGCAGTGAAAACTCGCTGATACGCATCTGTCTAGTTCAGAGAGAGAGAGAGAGAGAACAAACCCATTTGATTCAATGCACCAGGCAGGATGTGGCACTTGCTCAAGTATTTCTCATGACTAGTTATTATAAGACAGTTCTGCCTGCAGTACACTACGTATGTGGCTCTTACAAACTTAGAGGGTGAACTGTGGTTTTTAAGCAGATTTGGTACCTATCTTGACTCTGTTTAAGTCTTAGAAAATCAAGAAATACAAGCAGGCACTTAATATCTGAGAGTGCCATGTGTCCTTTATAATAACTTTAAATTTTGTTGAGGCGTCTAAAAATGTGAGGGAGGGGGCGGAGGTATACCCTAGGTTTTTTTACACTGTGATTCTATTTTCTCTCTCTCTCTTTTTTTATTTATTTATTTACAGTATGGCTTCATCAGACGAGAATAGGTCTCAGTTTATATGATGTGGCAGGACAGGGCTACCTCAGAGAATCAGTAAGTAATCCTTGATGAATTTAACATCTGTCTTTACTCAGGTGATGAAGTATAAGAAGGGTTCTGGTTTTATTCCAGTTTTACACTGCAAAGGCCAAATCATAATCTAGATTTGGGGAGAGCAAATTTGTTTGGATAAACGGCAATCTGTTTATGTTAGAGATTTTCTGGTGAGGCTGCTGCTAGCTGTAGCAACACATGGGTAGTTCTCTGAAAAGGAGATTGAAAAAGATATCAAGGCTTCACATGATTAACATTTTAATAGATTTAGTAGAATAGAGTAAAAATCAGGAAAAGCATGGCCAGAGCAAGCCTAAAGGAATAAGCTATTTTCTTATTCTAATAGAAGTTTAATATTAACAAGTAAATAGGACGACTCCATCTAAAAGGTCTATTAAAGAATATTCAGCAATAGGATAACCTAATTATGAGTTATGCATTGGGTTTTTTGGCATTCTGCTCTCCTGCCTGCCCTCTTCCTCTTTCCCGCATTGTTGCGGGACTGAATTTTTAACAAATAATACTTGAAAAGTATTATTGAAAAGTGCTGAAGTACTGAAAAGTACTTGAAAGTCAAGAGTGGAGTATAAAGAACAAATGCAGTTTAAACAAGTAGTTGTGTTTAAAGTTTCTGTGCATATGTTCTTTTCTTTCTTAATTCTATAGGATTTAGAAAACTATATTTTGGAACTCATCCCTACTTTGCCACAGCTGGATGGTTTAGAAAAGTCTTTTTACTCCTTCTATGTCTGCACAGCAGTTAGAAAATTCTTCTTCTTTCTAGATCCTCTCAGAACTGGTAGGTCCATGTTTTCAAAATTTTAAATATGTGGAAATATTGTCACTTCTAAAATGATTGCACTGAGGCTGTTTGCACCTATTTGAAGCTTAATCTCTACAGAAGACCATGAGCCCCTACGTGGGTCTGATCATCTACTTGCATAGCTAATGAGTTTTAGTGAAATGTCCCTCCATTGTGGTACTGGTACTCTAGAGTTATTTCACTGAAATTAACAAATAAGGTGATATCTCATCATAATGTAGAGAAAACTGGGTGTAACAACTACTAGCTCGGAACTGCTTGGCAGAACATCAGCAGAGCTGCGCAAATGCTCAAGAAGGCTTATTAAGATGTGCTTCTCCTGTGATAAGATTTCTGTACGCTACATATGCTCATGAGAAAAGGTTTTCAGTTATGACAGCTAATCCTGTTATTACAGTTATAGCTCACTTGGGCAACGGTGTGCTTTCTCCCATGCCCTTGAATTAAGTTAGTCACAAACTACATGCCCTTTCAAGATCTAGCTGTGCTAGCTGAAGCTGTCGGAGCTCTGTGGGCAGTAGACTCTGGCAGAAGTAGTTACAAACATGTAGAGAGTGTATATGTGAAATTATACTGTCATTATTTTTCATGACCATTTGCACAGCAAATATTTGCAACCAACAGAAGTTCATTCTGCCCCTTAGCTTTGACAAGTCTGTAGTTTCTGAAGGTGTACAGTATCACATCACCTAAGAGATGATACTAGTCCGATAAGAGTCCGATAAGAGCATGTATTTTCTCTGAATTTATTTTACGTTTCGAGTTGATGTTGAACACTCATTTGTTTTCTATCTAGTTACCTTGGAACTTTAAATGCCAGAAAACTCCTCTTCTACCAATATCGGGCTTGTTTTGTTGTTGAGTCATTTAAAAGGTATATTTATTTTATCTTTTAAATGACAACCTTATCCTTGACTTTACAAGTTGCTTAATAGAAAAGTATTTCTGCTCAGAGTACCTCTTGCTTAAGTAGAGCCACCTTAGTGAGCCGAGCTAGATGGATATGTCACCCAGCAGCACTGGGTGACTGCTATAATATACTTTCTTTTTCTTCCTGCAGGCAAGATAAAGATACAGGATATTTTAGCTTGCAGCTTCCTAGATGACTTGTTGGAGGTAAGCTCTTGTAGCATATACTGTTGTATTTTAGTTTACTCTTCCTGAATTATAACTTTTATGTTTCACTTAGTTAAGGGATGAAGAACTTTCTAAAGAAAGTCAAGAAACAAACTGGTTTTCTGCTCCTTCTGCGTTAAGAGTTTATGGTAGGTTCCTTTATATGTGACCATTTATTTTCTCTACCTTGTATGACTTAGCCACGTTCTTAGCGTTATTTTTCCTCTGTTATTGCCTCTTCAAATCCTGCTGATATCTTGTCTTTTCAACTCTTCCAGACATACCATCAGCCCATCTTCCTGACTTTCTTTTACGGTTTTTGTTCTCTTTTCCTCTGTCTACTGTCACATTGTGTTCCTTGCATTCCTCTGTACCTTGTGTTTTGACTGCTGTATTCATGCTTTTGCCTCACCTCTGGCTCTTTTTTTACAGCAAATATCTGTTTAAGATGTTAGCTTTTCCTTTAAAGCCAACACTTAAGTCATCCATTCCTTCCTGTGTGTAGTCAGCCTTTACTTTTGAGCCATCACCTTTAAGCAGAGCTATTAGCACCTCATTACAGGAACTCCCCTCCCCTGTGTTCTGTGCTCATTTATGGTGCTCTGTGAATATTCTTATCGATATAGAATGTTCCCACTTAATAATTTAAATCACAAAGCTGGTTCAGTTAAAGGTTAAATATGCGCTAAACATTTTCCTCCGGTTGAACAGTTCTTTGCTGATGTAAGGATGTTATGTTTTGGCCTATTTATCCCCTCCTTAGGCCAGTACTTAAACCTTGATAAAGATCACAACGGCATGCTCAGCAAAGAAGAGCTGTCCCGCTATGGAACAGGGACTCTGACCAACATATTCTTGGATCGTGTCTTCCAGGAGTGCTTAACTTACGATGGAGAAATGGTAATCGCATATATTTACTCTATGCCCAATTTAAAAGCATCTGCTTATCGGTATGCAAAATGTCTCATAATCGGTATCTTTAAAATAAATAGTAGCTGGATGTAAAGTAATTTTTGTTTCTCATTGTGTGAGTAAATAACAGCATAGCAGATTAGAAAACTAATTTTCTGATGTCAGGATGATCGTGGTGTGGCTGAAAGACGGGAGGTGCTTTTTTTTTGAAAAGCAGAGGTGCTATAAAATCCATATAATGTAGGATAAAGTTTCTCTTCCGTTTGTACATTCAGTAATGCAAAGTGTGTGTTGATAAAATGTGTAGATATAGCAATGCTTTCTAATGACATTTAATTCTTTCGTTAGAGAGCCAAAGAGAAGTGGAGCATCTTAAGAGTAACCCAACAGTTAGCTAACCTGTATATTTCATCATGAAGACAATGGTAATTTTATTGTAGGCTATTGGTGGCTGTAAACAATGGGAAATCTAACCTGAAATTAAGAGCTAAAATCAAAACTCACACTGTTTATTTTGAAAGCTTTCCTTAGTCTATCACTACTTTTAGTATCTGCATTCACAGGACTTGCCTCTAAAAGTGGTAAATGACAAATTCACTGCGCAGTTCTTCTGTATTACTTATCTTAGCAGTGTTTCATAGAATTACAGAATCATTGTGGTTGGAGGGGACCTCTGGAGATCATCTAAGCCAGCCCCCATGCTTAAACGGGGTCAACAAGAACAGGTTCCTCAAATGGCCTTGTCCAGCTGAGTTTTGAATATTTCCACCTCTCTGGACGATCCGTTTCAGTGTTTGAATGCCCTCACAGTGTAAAAAAAAAAAAAAAAAATACAAAAATTTAAAAAAAGTTTTCTTATGTATAAATGGAATTTTCTTTATTTCAACTTGTGCCCATTGTCTCTTGTCCTCTCACGGGGTAGCACCAAGAAGAATCTGGCTCTCTTCTGTACTATCCCCCTTTCAGGTATTTATGCACAATGATGACATCTTCCCTGAGCCTTCTTTTCTTGAGACAAAGATGTTGGTGATTTAAACAATCCCAACTCTTTCATCCTCTCCTTGTATGACAGCTGCTCCAGTCCCTTAATCATCCTTTGCTGGACTCGCTGCAGTATGTCCATGTCTCTCTTGTGCCGGGGAGCCCATAACTGGACCCAGCACTCCAGATGTGGCCTTACCAAGGCTGAGTAGAGGTGAAGGATCACCTCCCTCAACCTGCTGGGTGACACTTGCTCTAGCCAGGACGCTCTTGTTCACTCTCAGATAACAGTGACCTTACTTATACTGCGCATTTATAATTTGTTGTAATGAAAACTGTTATATAGCTTTCCTTCACTAGTTGGGTATGCTAAGCAGGCTAAGGATATAATAAACAAGCATTGTTTAAAAATATATATAGCCTGTTGAATTTGGATTTCTACTTGGAAACCTAATTTGCATCTAAAATGGCAGTGGATTTGCTATCCTCAGCAGTCAATAGGAAGTAACTTTTCTGTTCACATCAGTGGCAGCAGCCATTTTCTGTTTCATGTTGTCTTTTTCAGAAAACGAACTGCTCCCCTACAATGAAATAGCTGCCAATTACAATGTTCCTGCTTGCAAAATCAATTTAGAAAGAAGACTGTAATAAACATGATTGTATCTACTTTTAGGACTATAAGACCTACCTGGACTTTGTGCTTGCATTAGAAAACAGAAAGGAGCCTGCAGCTCTGCAATATATTTTCAAACTGCTTGATATAGAGAACAAAGGATACCTGAATGTCTTTTCCCTTAATTATTTCTTTAGGGTAAGTCTCTTTATACAGGTAGGCCATTTTCTGTGTTTATGGTGTTATAGCCTGTGTGCTTCTGCATACAGATCTGCGGGAATGGCTTTAAATTACTGGTACCCACTGGGAGGCTAGTGACTACTTCTTAGAAGATTTAAAATATTAAAAAACCTGTACTCCAAAACTTGGAAAGAATTCAAAAGGTATTTTCAATATTTTATTTGCAGTGGAAATTAACTGGTTTGATTTCATTTAGGAAAAATATTTTCTATTGATTTTTTTATTGATTTTTTTTTTTTAATTGAAATTGTCCTGAAATTGCCTGACAATTACCTACTAAAATCTCTTGCGATGGTTCTAATTGGTTATTCCCCAGGCTTTTAGTTTCCGCTGTGATGCTAAAATTCAATATAAGAAATGAAAATACTGAAGTGCAGTGATGGCTCGTACAACTGTGGCATCTTATATTCAGTGTGTCGATTGCAGAAAAGCTTCTTGGATTTTTCTTACTCTATACTTTTATCCATTGCTTCCATAGTTGCCTTCTCTCTCTTATCTATTTATTTATATTGAATGGATACCTCAAATGTGTTGGGTAGGGGGAGGCTGGATAGAGGAATATAATATGATTTTTTTTTTTAAAAAAAAAAGTATTTTTGTTGGGGGATGGTTTAGGCTGTGTTCAAGTAATGCATTTTTCATGTTCAAGATCCTTCTTCAGTGGTATTTATTTAGACGCAGGGACAAGCACTTCAGTTTTCTGTATGTGGGTCTTTATACTCTATGTTTAAGAATAAACTATGTCATTGTACTTAGCCCCACGCTGTAAGCATGAAGAACAAATATTTATTTCATTTGACTCTAAGTAAAGCATTCAAGTCTGCTCAATGGCATGATGTTGTATCCTCTTTATTTCTGTATTGTAATAAGTCTCCAGCAAAGCTTTTGGGTAATAGTGACTGCACCCTTATTTTGTGAAAATGGAACTTTTTAATCTGGAAGACCTTCCTTAAAATGGAAAGGGATATCTATAACCTTTTTTTTTTTTCTTTTAGCAGCTTGGAATAATAGAATAACTTAGGTTGAAAGGGACCTTTTGAGGTTCCCTGCTTCTACCATCTACTCAAAGCAGGGCCAGCTTCATGATTAGGTTGGGTTGCTCAGGGCAGTGTCGTAGTGAAATTTCTGTACCTCAGAAGAAGGAGAATCTGAAGTTTCTTTTGGCAATTTGTTCCAGTGTTTGCCCACCCTTCCTGAGAAGTTCTTCCTCCCTTCCTCCCCCACCACAGCAGTTTGTGTCCCTTTCCTCTTGTCCTTTCAGTGCGTGCCTCCAAGAAGAGTCTGGTTGTGTCATCTCTTCAACCACCTGCTAGGTAGTTGAAGGTAGTAACTATGTCCCATCCCCTACCTTTCTCCCCACTCAATATACCCCCTTCTCAAGCCTCTCCTCATAGGTGCTCTGTGCTTCAGCCTCTAACTATCCTGATAGGTCTCTGCTGGACTTACTCTCCTTTGTCGCTGTCTGTTATATACTGGGGAGCCAAAACATGTGAGGGTGCCTCTGGAGAACTGCATCCAAACGTTGAGTAGAGGGGAATAATCACTTCCCTGAACCTGCTAGCTACAATCATGTTGTGCCAATGCAGCCCAGTATGCATCTGCCTTCATCAGTACAGGGGCACCCTGCAGACTCTTGTTCAACTTCTTGTCCACCTTCTTGTCCACCAAGACCTCCAGCTCCTTTCTTACAAAGTTGCTTCTAGTCAGTTGGCCCCTAGAGTGTGCTGTTTGCATGTCGTTATTCTGTTCCAGGTGCAGGCAGGATTTTGCGTTGGCCTTTGAACTTCATAATGAAGTTAATTTAGTGGTAGTGTAGCTGTGGTGTACATAGAGTATGAAACAGGTGATTGACTTCAGTATTTCAGTTACTGCGTATCTTCATGGGAAACTGTTGGGCCAGGACTTGACAATAGTAAGGATCCTAGCGAAATTAAGCAATTACTCGTCTTCTCTCCTTGCTTTTACAGTCCAGCATTCTTACCACTTCCTCCACTTTACTTGCACAGTAGGACGCACAGAGACTTGGGGCCGTATCAACTGTCAATAACTCTGACTTTAATAACGGATTTTAATTTACAGCTTTATACTTCACAAAAGTATAAATTTTAGTGTTGTCGTAGTACTTGAGAATCTTAATATGAAAGTCAGCCTAACAAGGTAATTGTGCATAAGCTGTCACTTCATGGCCACTTTGTGTGTCTGTTTCCAGTAATATTCTATGCCTTAGGTGTTGAAAGGACTCCTTGACTACAGCAGACAGTTGGTCAGACACCACAATGTGGTCCTCCTCAAACTTTTGGAAATGGAATGTGCTGTGTAAGCCTTTTCTTGAAATTGGAAAAAACGCCTTTTGACTCCCTGAATAACCGCTTTTATGCTAGCGTAAGTGTGGGTGGATCCGCACCTACAGCGACTGTGCTGATACAGCTGTCCTGACAAGGCAGTACAGCCTGTAATAGTGAAACAAACATTTTTGTTCATAGTTGTTTTCTTCAGGCAGAGGCTTGGTGATGCAGCTGTTTAAATAGTATCCCATTGAAAGGGCTAATAATAAGGAATATTTTTACTTTCAATCCAGAAATGACCACTTATGGCACAAACCAGGAACCCTTCCGTAGACAAATGCTCAACGGTATACGTTGTCTTCCTCATGTTACTTGATCAGTCAGAATGCAGGTTCCGTTTTTGAAGTAGCTTCATGTGGAAATAGGCACATTGCTCTGTCTGTTGATTGATCTTTTACCTTCTGTTGTTCCCTAGTCTGTACTTCATGTTTCCTAGGAAGAGTAAACCTTCTGGTCTGAGCATGTATCTTAAGCTTTGAACGTTCAGTGAACCTTCATATCCGTGTGTCTGCAAATCCCATTTGCCAAATGCTTAATATTAATGGTCATAATGAAAGTTTCGTTCTCATCATATTGACTAAGAACTGCAGAGCACATCATTGATTGTGCCTTAACTCGCTCCTGCCTTACTTGTGGAAGAGAAAATTAGTTGCAAGCTCTACCATTGCTCATCCGCAGAGCAATACAGCTTTAGATGCAGAAGCATTTCAAAAAAATTTCATATAACGTGTCCGGATAGTACTGCACTGCCTGTTTCTAACTTTTCTTTTGTTCCTAGGCTATTCAGGAACAAATGAAAATCCACGGACAAGAACCGGTTTCTTTTCAGGATGTCAAGGTTAGTTTTCCTGAAGAGAGTACTACATGAAATATTTGAACAAACATTTCATAATTTTCTTATGTAATATTTTAGTTTCTAAGTTGGGGCATATGTATTTGCAGAATAGTAGGAGTGGTCTGACTTGTCCTTTTCGTAAATTTGAAAATGGCTCTCTTTTCAGGAGTTGCTCTGGAAGAAAATTTTAGTACACAACTGTTCTGATTGATAGTTTCCTTATTAATAGGCAAAGTGTCTATACTGCAGTGCCTTACACTTCTTAAATATATTTGGTGTGTCTATTCTGTAACTCTGGATGATTTGGGTGGGGGTGGCTGCTGACTGAAGAGTATCAATAAAATTTCCTTACTGCCTAGTTAAGTTCAGTAATTCTAGTACTAAAAACGTACAAGGACTTCTATAAAATTTAATTCATATAAATAACTGAGCTTCACGCTGCTATTCGGAGCCCAACAAAACCTCCTCAGAAAAGTAAATTCTTATTCGAGATATGCAGTAGCAGAGCACACTGCTCCTGTCTATCTCTAGCAAATTATTATTCTTTGTATCTAAAAAGATTAGGGACTTACCAGCTTTTTGTAAATTGCTGTGGATGGCACTGTTTACCCAAAGATCATTCAGTGTATGGTATAAAATAGCCACTATTCATTAATATGTAGGTTTGTAGTGTTTTTTTTTTTTCTTCTTCTTCAATTTTGGCTTTTCTTTTATAGGATGAAATCTTTGATATGGTAAAGCCTAAGGATCCTTACAAAATCTCCCTTCAAGACTTAATCAATAGCAGTCAAGGAGACACTGTTACCAGCATTCTAATTGATCTGAATGGGTTCTGGACATACGAGAACAGAGAGGTCCTTGTGGCAAGTGATAATGACAACACTGCTGATGTCGATGATACGTGACTCTGAATATGAGTAGGCTGTAACCATAGAGACATCTTTAACTAATGCATTAACTAACTGTTGGAAGCCAGAAACATGTTACCTGAATCAATGCTTTTTCCATTTTACTTCCTCCCTCCTTCACTCTCCCTCCAGCACATAGTGTAAAATGTGGAAATGTGGTACATACAGGGACTTCTGAACTCAAAATAGCAAGTCTTGTTTAAGAGGTAACAATGATCTGTTCTGTGTGTAGTATTTTTTTTTTTAATAAATATTTTTGGAGTCATTTAAGTACCAAGAAATGTTCCTCATTTGGATACCCTGTTCTAGAATGTGAATTTGTCCTGAGAGTGAGAATACATTTCTCAAGTATACTCAGCACTGGCCTGTAGCTACTTGGCCAATACCAAGCCTCCCACTTAATTTTGTGTAGCTTCTGGTAATGATGGCTCTGTTGAAGGCTTTTGCCTTTAGAACTGAATGCTTAATAAGAGGTAAATAGTTTTAAGCATTTTCCTTCTGTATACGTCCAGCTGTAAATGCCTGTAACTGAATAATTATCTTTCTTACTTATCCTTTCTATCAGCTCAATAGTTAAGAGGTTCATTGATGGAAATAAAACAGCATCGCTCTAGGTCTGGTTAGAATTAATCTCACCACTTGCATAAAGGCTTTCACCAACTGAACTTAACCTCCTGTGTAAGTACTTTATGTAGTTTAACTTAAATATACAGCTGAGCTACAGCAGTAGTTAAAGCAATAAAACACTTTTTTTACTCTTCAGAAATCTATAACTGTTTCAACCTTCAGATAAAATTACAACAGATGCAGGTGAGAAATAGTTAACCATCATGCACTATTTATTAGTGCCTACCTCATTTAAGGTAGTGCTGAACAAGTCAGGCAACTTCATAAGTACTATGTGAAATTATAGGGGAAGTATAATATATTGAACTTCAGTGCCTGGCTGTGTGACTCAAAGTGAAACAGTGAACAGGCATGTACTCCTGTGTGCAGGCATAAACTTTCAACAACCACACCGGTTTAAAGGAAAAGCCATAGCCAGTTTCCAGTTCAAAAATTATATTCAATATAAAATAACCAGTTAAATGCATTTACAGAAAAATTTAAAGTAACTACTTTCATACAGTTTGCAAAAACAAAAGGAAGAGTTAAGTTAAGGCACAGTGAGTAATAGAGCATTTATACAAAGAAGTTAAAGCCCAAGGCAGTGAGAGCATTCCTTAATGCAACAGCTGGGGGGGGCGGGGGGGGGAATCGCAACTGACAATTTTTTGGCAGAAAAGCAAAAGCGCATCCTTCAGCGGTAGAGGTTTTACCCTTGAACTACTAGAGGCTTTTTACATTTCACACAGTATAAGAACTCCCAAAACGATGTTTTGCTGTGTACTCCCCAGGTGTTGAACCAAGCTTTTCCTTGTAGATATTCAGGGCTAAGAAAGGATTTTTACACAGCTGTCAGCACCCTCTATATCACAATTCGAAAAGAGGCAAAGAACAGAACAGCAAAACAGACTGAATGGAACAGCTGCCTGAGTCTTCCTCAGAAGATCCTCTGCAGTGCTAGAGTGTTAAGGGCAGAAGAGTGGGGAGAGAGATGATGTACTGCACAGAGGGCTAGTTCACGCAGAAGGTTGGCTGTAATGAAGCTAATTAGAGTCCAATATCCAGTTGTCCTGGCCTGTGTCATTATAACAGGCTCTGGGGTTAGCTGGTGGTGAGACCGAGGCCATGGATTTATAAATGATACCCAATATGAGAGTTCACTGAAGCTTGAATTCTTTTTTTTTTTTTAAAGAAGTTTCAAGGATAGAAGTAATGATTCACATGGTAATTAGTATGGTTTTTCTGCTTATTTATCTACAAGCATTCTGCAAACAAAAGTGATTAGGGCCAAGTTATCTCCCTGCCTTCAACACTGAAATTTGATCACCTTAAACTAAACCATTTCTCTTTTACAGGCTGCAAGTCAGACAACAGTTACTGCAGTAAAATCCATTTAATCAGTAGTTGGGGCTCCTTAAAAGATCTGGAAATAGCTGCATTCTGCTTCCCCAAAAAAGAAAAATTAATATTGGAAAGATACTAAGGCAAAAACTTCCATTAAAAAAAAAACAAAGGAAGAGTCTTAAGTTTGGTTTTGTGACTTACAGTTATTAAAATATATTCTGTGCTCTAGGGAAAAAACATTCACAATAGCAAAAGCCTTACTTGTAACCAAACATTAAACAAATAGTCTGTTGAGGTTAATCAAGTATACTGACTCAGGTAATTTAAGTAAAAACCCCACATTTTTAGAGTTGCAGAGTGGTATCATACACAACGTCTAGTGAACTCAGTATAATTTAGCAGATTTCAGTTTACTTTCCAGAACCATTCAGAGCTTGTGAGGAAATATTTAAACAGGTAGGTCTTTATTAAAGTCTTACAAATAGAGCAAGAACATCTTAAAACACTGATGCTAGTTCTGTAGTTTGCTACAGCACTGAATGGAACAGCTGAGCACTGTTAACGTCTGGGAGTGCTCGATCTAGTTAGTTACTAAGTTCTTAAGGGTGTTTATAGCCTCCTTTAAAATAAAAAAAGTAAAGGCTTTCAGTGGGCTCTCAAACTTAGTTAACCTTAAAAGCTTGTGACAAACAACAACAAGGAAAAAAAAATACATGCATACAGTAGTGACAATAAATAGGGCATTCTGGAAGCTATTATGATGATTTGTGAGTTACAGGAAAAGGATTCCTATTAATCTATTCACAGAGAGCCAAGTTCCAAACAATGTGCAAATCAAAAACAGGTATTTAAAAGTAGAAAACAGCACTGCGTCTGCAATCCACAAGTGTCAGAGATAGAGTTTTACTTGCTTTACACAGAAATTGGCTAGCAGATTCAATTTAGACCAAATCTCTTAGTAGTGCAATTCTGATTTCAACAGAAGTGCCAATTTGGCAGAATACCTCAGCCTTTATTAGGCAGATGGACCAAAAAGACATCACCTAGCTCTCTCCTGATCAATAAGAATGCTGAAAATCGTATTTTCACTGAAAAAGTACAAATCTGTCTTTCCTGCTTCTTACAGCCAGATTGTGACACCTGACACTTCCTATTTCCAGTATTATACAGAGCTTTATGCTTAGGTAGGGACAGGAACTACATCTTGTTTATTTTCCACAACAGACTGGCAGTCTCCTTCAGTTTCAAAGTTTAAATTCACAAATGAACTACATGTTGTTGCTTCAGGCTGGTCTATCCGGACAGGAGCTTCAGCCTGTGGCTTGTTCTGCTGCTCCTGATGCTGTCTTTCTGCTTCTTCTGACATTTTGTTTTCCTGTTCCTCCTCTTCCTCCTTTAAAAAAAAGGGAGGGAGAGGAAGAGAGAGAGAGAGAGATTTCACAAGCTTTTGAATTCAAAATGAATCATACAAGAGAAGTAAATATAAAAATGGCTGGGTCCTAACCACTGTTAAGACTGATGATCTGGTAAGAAAATGCTGACAGATAAGCCAACATAAAATATGCATCAAATCAAAACTGAAGGCAAGCTGAAATAGATGTTCTAAAACTTAACCTTTCTTCAGTCATTAATGCAGAAATACAATTTTTATTTTTGAAAATGCTAGGGAAGGTAAGCGGGGGGGGGAGGGGGAGCATAAGAATTTATCTCACAGACATACCTCTTTTTTCATTCTGTAATACTCATCAATGGCATACTGGTATTTTGGTGTACTTATCCCCAAAACAGATGCGATCTTTTCCCCAAGAAAATCACAAACTAAAAATAAAGAGAGGTTTATATGTGATTAGTATCTAGAAGAAAGCTATTAAGCAAGTTCTATTTTAAAAGGTATCATCATCCCCTTTCTTGAATGGTTTTCTGTAGTCACTACTTGACTCAAAAGACAAAAATAAAATTACCATGATAATCTACTTATATGGAGTTATTAGCTCAATATACTAGTAACTGTTATGATTTAGAATGCACAGAAGGAGAAAAACATGGAAATCAGTGAAAACCTAGATAGTGCTAGTGTTTACATTGTAATAGTTTTAGCTTTGCGTCTAGCTTTATTTTGCTTTGGGGTTCAGTTAAAAGAAAAATCTTTAACTGAACTTCAACTGAAAATTAAGGTTAGACACAAATATCTGATTAACAAGTGTATTGGCCCTTCAGTTTAATGGTGCCAAGCAACTAGAGAATTATTTATTGATAGCATGCATATTTTAAGCCAGTAAGCAGTTTTAACAATGCTCTGTGTTGCATCCTGAAGGGATTGCCAAGTTTTTTAGGTTTCAGCTTTCTCAGTTTTCAAGCTGGAGGCTACATGCAGCATTACTTTGCTAAAACCCATAGTTCACAGTCAGAAGTATGGAGCAGACAGGCTCTTATCCGTCAGTGTCTTGACCATGATGATGGCTGCAGTGTGGGTCACTGAGTAAAGGCAAACAAGAATTACCTTTGAAGTCCAATATATTGCACTTCAAATTACCAATCTGTCCTGAGGATGCAAATGAGTTAGTTCTCAGTAGTCTCCAGTGAAAACAAATTAGAAAATGGCAATTGAAAAGTTCAATGAGTAATCACAATAACTCATTTTATACATATCTTGAAATCCCGAGTTCTGCGGAAGAGACCAGTTCAAAAAACAAACGTAAGAGGCAAAACTAAAGCGAGAGGAGAGAGAAATATGTAGTAACGTTCCAATTCATAAAAGTCTACTGAAAAGTGGAAAGCAATATCCACCTTCGTGGATAAAGAACAGATATGACAATGAATTGTTAATTGAAAATAAAAAAAATAGTGCCTAAGGCAAAAGACTACATCTCCACCCAATAAAATGTAAACTCATTCACACTTTAAAAAAATGGCCAGTAAATCACAAAGATGATTTACAGTCTGTCAAGATGACACTCAATATTCATTTGCAACTTTACCTGAGAAATAAATAAAGCAATACCTGATAAGGTTGATGTGGCAACTCTTAGCATGTGAAACCATAAGTAGGGTCCCCATGTAAGCGTCGTCTGAAACAAGAGTAGAAGTAATGTGTATAGCTGTATGTTCATGGCATATAATAATAATAATGCAAAAGCTCAAACACAAATTCAAAAGAACCATCAGCAACACTGCCTGTTTGCCAGCTACCACAACACTGAAGTCATCAATTTTGCTTTAAAGTTAGACCAGACATACATGGAGTGAAGTATCACTGTATGCTACAAAGCTAACCATTGCCTACATCTGGGAACGCATATTTCACTGCTTTCTGCTTGCCACTCACAAACTTAGAAAATGACAAGCACCCAGCTCAAGCTCAAAATAACTCCTATAACTAGAAAGACCTTTATATAATGTTCTGAATTCTATTTCAGACCTAGCAGAGAAGTAGGCTAATCAAGTATTCCTTGAGTATAACTTTAAAAATAAAAATAAAAGAGAGAATTACAAAAGGCGTAAAACAAACAAACAAATGAGCCAATCAAACAAAAACAAAAAAAGCCTTCATAACAGTCCCTGAGGAAGAAGCTACTTCCAAGTGTCTAAGAACCAACATGAACTATCATTTGGAACTGTACCCAAAGAATAACAAAATTCTGACATATACATCCAGTAGTTTGTCCTGGAAAGCTAGTCAGCTATCCAAAATGGAGCAAGAAATCTCCCTCCTTGTGAGCCCCACCTGGAGCCAACAACAGACTAGTCTGAAGGTCACAGAAATTTGAGTGACTATGGAGTAATCATCATACAGGAAATACTGCAGTGTCAAGACAAAAATGAGAGACTTATACATGAGCACTCAAAGAACATTTAGAAATTAACGGGAACATACAGATTATCCTTTTCACTGAGGAAAGGGGCCGTATCTCTTAACTTTTACAAGCCTCTTAATACAAAGGAGAAGGGAAAAAGCAGACTTTAAAAAAATCCAACCCACTAACAAGAAAAGCTGTATGCTTTCAGATTTGTGAAAAGGCAAATTCAAATTTCCTAGTAAGCTAAAACATGTATATAGTCAATAGTCTGTTGTATTCAGGTAAGCTCTTCACTATACATTTGCCCCCCTAAAGATCTCCACAGACATAATTTCCTTGTGGAAACTAGCAATGAAAGTGTCAGCTCTTACTAACTGAAACGCATTAGTTCCACTCAGTTACATATATACGTTTGTTCCTAAAAACTGTTTGATAGGTATTGAGTAAGATCATAGAAAATGGTGCCTATCCATATGGGACAATGAACATTTGCAACACAGCTACAGAGATTAGTTGGGATAGTCCGAATATGTATATGACAGTGTCCCAGTAGCATCTCATGTACGCACATAGTCTACTAGATTTCAGCGCTTACCAAGCAAAGCTCCTACAATTCAGTATAGCAAGTCATCATCTGCCAAGCTAGAAATTCAAGTTGGGTGAGCAGAAAAAAGCCGGATCTTGAGTTTTTGGCAGTGGGTTTGGAAATTATCCTGCCAAGCTAAAAGTTTTAGCAAAACCAGCTGCTGTCCCCCTTGCACAAAAACACTTCTAGCTTGTTAATTACATACTCAGTTGGTAGATAGGCTAATGACAATCATTTAAGTTTGTTTAGTTGAAGAAGTCAAGAAAAGTGCTGAAAAAGCTTGTCGCCACAGGTGCAAATAATGGCATTGATGGCCTCTGTACAATCCTTCATAATAAGGTGACAGGGTTAAAAAAACATTCACACAGTGCACAGGACAAAGTCCTGCTGTGCAGCAGTAAGCAAGAAGCTGCATGTAACCCCTTAACATTTAAGAATAAAAAGTTAAGTTGAACTTCAGAGTTACAGAAGTAAATCGGGCACAGGATCTTCTAACACACTACTGTAGTAACACACACACAGCTAAAATTTGAGTCTCTGCAAGGCAATGGTGCACAGAGATTCCTCCCATTTCTACTAGTCTGCCACCACGCAATTAAAACAGAGTTTGGTATGTTAGAAACAATTGACTTCTAAGTATAACCTCATAGAAATCTCTGCTCTGTGACAAAATGTGTCCATAGCACAACCAGACACTTCTTCACCCACGTCAAGTAACACTTTGCCAGCTCCCATAATCTGTAAAAGGGGTATCCTTTTAAGTGTCTCAGAAGGCAATATGTTACCAAGAGAGAAACTACTTCATGCAAATTCAACAGAATATAGGAAATGTTTTGGAGAACAAGTCACTGAAGACAAGCTGCAGAGAACACACCCAAGGAATAAGCCTCCTTTTCGTTCTTACTTCTTCAGGGTAAATGGGTAGAATTTTCCACAGGCACCTCAAAGACCTAAACAGGAATGGCAAATATGGGGTGAGAAGAGGTACTGGAGAAAGCAAGAACCTTCTGGGGTGATAAGAACAGAGTTGTTACGCAACAGCTCTGTACAAAGTAATCTGACTCTATGAAGTAGCTTTAATGCATTGAGTACTACTGGAAAACCGTGCCAAAGTTAGGTCTTCTTAACGTTCAATGAAAAACAATATGTAGATAATGTATTTCAACCTCCTTCGGACACAGAAGTCTTAATGTTCAGTCTTCCTAATCATACCAAGGATACTGTAATACCTTTTCTTTGGAATAGAAACAAGGTGCAGCAGTATGAAATACAGGACACCTATTTATTACAAGGAGAGACAGACCCTAGGGGAAACATTGCCTCAAGTATACATCAGCTAAATGGAAGATTTAACAGTTATTACATTTGGTTTTCAAACTTCAAAAAGAGTTGTAATGTACAATTTTAATCTGAAGCTCAGACTCCATATGATCTATCCAAGTCTATTTACCTATAGAAGGTGTTAGTTGTGTTTTAAGTAGGAATGAACATAATGAGTTCCACCATTTATAAAACCAAGAGGACTAAGATTCAACAACAGAACACGATGTTGTTTCATCAACAGTTTGTTCAGGGCTTCTGAAGGAAACGCAATGCCCTCTTGAGCTTCTGAGCGCGCCGTGTTCCTCCATATGAACAATCTACATCCATATTTATTTTTGGCAAGTTTCAGTCCACAATAACACTTCAACTTCCCAATGAGTCCATGTTTTTGTTGTTGTTATTGTTCAGAGAAAATAGCAAAATGAGATTAAGAATCATTTCTTAAGAAAAATAAGTCATGTATTTGAGAGCTAACATATACCACCAAATGGATACTTCTCCATTGTTTACCATGCCAAGATGCATGTTAAATGAGTTCAATTCATGACCAATTGGTCATCAGATATTGTTGTAACATATCCTCCAATGAACACACCATGGAAAGCTGCAGCAACTAAGATAACAGTCAAAACAAGATCAGCAACACACCCTTCTACCTCAGAAAAGCTTCTAGAACATTATGAATATCTTTTATTTGGTCATTGACTATTTCTCTCCCTCATCTCTGTATTATCCATCATCTCTAAGCTCTTGAAAGAAAATTATTTTAAAAATCCTCACCTAGCATAAAAACTTTTTTGCTATTAGATGTTAAGCTCCTGTTAACTACAGGATATCAAGGTAACCTTCCTGTGAGAACGTGCTTCAATCTTTTCAAGCGCTGAAGGCTGACAAAATCAAACGTCTTCTGGAGCTCTGTGGCAGAGATTTTCTCAGAATGAATTCTAAGGCTATAACCAACAGTTACATTGCTTACAACTACTCTGCAAAGACTTACACTCCACCTTCTGCTTACTCATGTAATAAGTGAAAGGAACAAAGACTTTGTAACAAATGGCACTCCAGGGATAAACAGAAAGATTATCTTCTAATGCAGGTTAGAGAAATTTCATTATTATAAAGTAAGGCCTTGGTGGACAGAAGCAAAGGGAGATTTACACATGCAGTGTAAGCAACTAACAATTTTTGGACAGAACAGAAGACACAGTTAAAATTAACACTCTTACAAGCCTCAAAGAGACAAAGGACTCAGGTAATGTTGAATGCTATTAACTAAAAAGATTCAGAGAAAAATCTGTTCTGGATTCATCTAATTCTCAAAACAAATACAATAGAGCGGACACTCCCATCCAAGAACGTTAATGAACTAAATGCTGACCTACAGAAGTCAAGTACCAGAATCATTTTTCCAAAGCAAAATTAAGACTTAATGGTTTATGAGAATTTGTTTTGTTATGAACGGCAGCAACACATCACACGCTGAGTGCTTTAGTTAACACACTACTGGAATATATCAGTTACTTATTAAGATAGACATTATCATTATCTGATTAGCTCTGAAACATAATGAAACCAAGGTAGTTAGTGAAGAAGTTTCTTTACAATATGGAAAAATATTTGTTTCCCTCAAACTCATTCAGAACCTGTGAAGATGCCAATACCAGCCGAGCTTTGAAATTTCATGATGTAAAGTTTCTATTCAATATTAAATGTGCTTTTTCTAAAAATAAATTGGACCAGAAACAGCTATTATTTGCAACATACTTTTTTGTATCCCAACTGAGATAACAAGTTTTAGACATGCTGGTCTCAGCAAACTGACTATTTAATTGCTTTTATACAAATCCTACAATAAAAACAGTTTTAAGGCAGCTGTTGGCTAAAACATCAAAGCTCAGCTTGGACTAATATTTCTTCAATTCATTGGCTCAGTTGGGATACATGAAGCATACAGCAGATAAGGTAAACTTCACTTAATGGCAACCCTTGGTCTAATCAAGTTTATTCTGTCAAGGTAAAAAGCAATGTGTAATAAGGCACACCATGCTCCACAATAAACTATTCTGGTTTGGAGGGTCCTTTTACTAAAAGACGTAATAAAAATTAAGGATTTCATAAACTATGGAAGGGGAATAAAGGAGTCTTGAATGTGCCATGCAATGTACTTTTTGGTATTCAGAAAAAAATCCATATTAGGAAAGCAGGAGAACCACTACACAGAATTTTTGGCTATTCTGAATGTTTGAGCGTTCTTTAATTAAGGTGTCCATTTGTACAGCAGCGTGTACTTCTCTGGCCTCACAATGCTTACACTAAGTCTCCTGAGCCCTCCATCACCGTGATACAGTGAAATAGCTCTACTGAGAGGAAGAGGCACATGCAAAATTTATACAAATCTCATGCCCGGCTAATTATAGTTGAAAAACTTCTCATTATACATCCTTAGATATCAGATATGACCTTCATAGTAGGGAGCAGATTTGACTCTGAAGATATCTGCATATTCCCGCAATATTCAGTAACTTTTTCAGTTCTTGTACTTCTTTGAGAAGATCACTAGAAAAAAAAACAGCAAGGTAGCTTAACGTCTATTAATTGTTCAGAAGATTAACACACTTATTTTCAATAATGCTGCTTCAGGTGATCTATAAACTTTACACGTACTTTTATACTGATGCCTTTCTGCTTTGTCTCAGGCCGTTACTTTTCCTTGTATACATGAATTGCCTAATAAGAAAGTGATACTGGTGTCATAAATCCACCCAAGATCAAATGAAAAAGCTTCACTTGTGAATTCCTAGGAACCCCAATCCCAGATTCCCATAGCCTCATTGCAGCTCGTTCCTCAAACTACCACTTTTTCTTCAAGCTAAATCCATCTTATAGAGAAGAAAAAGAACTGATTCACAATCCTTCCCAAAGCAAACCCTGCATGCTTGCAGCACTTCTGAAAAAGGGAATGAGGAGAAAGTCAAACTCTTCATGGCAAAATCCCTCCAACAAGGCCCTCCTGTTGTGGGATGGATACAGATACCAATAAACATAGGGCCTAGTAGAACAGCAATCAAGAGCCTCAAACACAGCATTTCTTCATTACAGATTCCCAAAGTGTGGTGCACAAGTCTTTTCAACAGCAGATGCTTTTGTAAAGTAGAGAACACAACACAAATTTCTGTGCATGCAAAGGTTCTTATCTGAAGTGCGGGAATAAGCACCTTTATGCAGGCACTTGCCACCAATGTGCAGTCAAGCAGGACTAGTTACCACACAAAGTGATAACTCCCCGGCCGTCTTGGCTGTGCTCCACCACACAGGAAAGGATCCAGCCAACTCCAGTCTCCACTTCTAGCTTAGTGCAGGTGAGAAAACCAAGGGAGGGCCAGGAAGGGAGCGCCACAGACAGGCAAGGGAACATGAGGGGGGTTCCAATTCATGGGGGATATAAGCATAGTGGAAGGGTAGAGAAAAGAGGTAACCGAGAAACCAGTTTGTGGGGGTGTCAAAGGAAACACATGAGATGGGAGGGGGAGAAAAGAAGAGAGGGATGAGCAACTTCTCCAGCACTGGTTGCCGGAGAGCCGGAAACCACTTCTGCCACTGCTAGTACACACAGCTTCTCGGTTTGCAAGTCTCTGGACTACAAAACACATGAACTGACAATCCAACAGAATGAAACAGACCAGTATATTTCATTTTTACCTTTATGTACAGATCCTGAATCACAGACAAAAAGAGAAATGTATTTTAATAGCTCCACTACACACTACTAGAGGCAGTTTCAATTATTTCAACTCCACTTTAATATGGACCAATAAACACAGACCTCATTCACAGTTCAAGCAAAGTCTTAATCATTTAAAACGCAGACGATGAACTTGACATACATGGACTAACCAGGTCCTTTAAAACTTGTTTCTCATAGATCATGAAGCACATCCGGTTTTCTTTACTTCTGCAAATCATCTGTTTCTTCTGCTACTATGCTTCTTTTATTATATCGAATGCTACTATGCTAATGCTAAATTACAAGTTCAACTCTCCTCTGTCATCAAACCTAAGAAAACAAATGCCTTCCCTGCATTTTTTTTTCTGATTTTTTCTTAAATAATAGTATGAATCAAGGAGACACCAAACAAATACTATTAGAGGGGGAAAAGCTAGAGAGGACAGATTAGAACTGTGAAGAAATTAAAGAAATTAAACCCATTTGTGCACTATCATCTAAGTAGTCCCACTGGCATTAACAGAGCTACTTCAGTGAAGGAGGACTCCAAGACAAAACTTCTCAGAAATACTACTCACAGATTTCTCAGTTCCTAAAGCCAATTAAATGATGTGAATCTTTAATTCACTAGATCAGATCTGTGACATAAAAATCAAAGTATTAAATGCTGCTAGTTCTCCAGTAAGCCAGGAGCAACAATTTATCAATACAAATACCTACAGGGTCTACAGGAGGTAAGAGGTCTTTTTTCTCTTGTTCGTCTTCCTCGTCATCTGTGCTATATTCTTCCATTGTTTCTCCACTTGCAAAGTGAATAACCCTCCTTGGAACTTTTTTCTTCTTTCCTATGACACCCAGCTCCACATTTTCAAAGCCTCTTTCTCCATTTGCGAGTTGCTGTAATGAAAATAAAATCATTATTTGAAATATAAGCTTCCATATGATAAGCTGCAAAACTGTAAAAATCCTCCCTTGAAAAGCTTCACAAGGTATTTAAAATATTTTAGATTGTTTACGATATAAAATGGATATTAGCAAAAACTTGGCTGTAGGTGAAGGATACACCTTTTTTCCTTCCAGCTGTTGAATACTACAATGCAATCTTCGAGTCACAAATGACAGAAAAAATACAGTTCTAGTTCAAAGGCTGATCAGCAATTCTGTAGGCTAATAACTCCCGTGGCTGGAAAGTTTTAGAGAGTATTTGTATTGCATCCATCAAAACGGAGCCTTCGTCTTGGCAGAGCTTTCAGATATTATTGCAACAAACATATAAAACTGCTTTGAAAACATTTCTGTCACACAGACAAGCACATGGAAGTCAGGAAACGTTACCCACAGAGTTTTAACGTGCCATAAATGGTTTTTTTAAATGGGTGAGATTATGTATTTCAAAAGTGTATCATAATGTATATATGCAAGACGATCTGTGCATGTGTAAACGCAGAATTAAGGTTGTATAAGATGGTCATGTTCCAACTTTTGAATTCTTGTCTATGCAACCTTAACAGTCTTCATAAATCATAAACCAAAATTATTAATAAAAACACATATCTTTTCACATAGTTATAAGAAAGCCCTTAATCATTATGTGCATGGTATCACCATTCCTGCCACTTATGCTACATTACATAAATTTTCTCCTGGGACAGGAGAAAGCTGGGGAGAGCAGAACCTTGCCCTGTTTTCCTTCATGTCAGGCAACAGATTTTTCTCATGTCCACTGAGAAGAGGGAGGGAAAACGAAGATCACGTGCCAAGCTGCACAGTGTGGAGAAGGAGGACACATCGCTCATCTTTCTCAGCCTTAATGCAGCAGCTTCAGAAAACTGCAAGTCATTAGAGCTTACTGCAGTGTTTCTTCAGTTACTACGGCACACTTTGTACACTTTCCTAGAGGAACCTAGCAGAAAGAAGTAACAAATTTCAATAGTATAATTCGGCTGAAACAGCACTACATTTTCCTAACAGAAAGACAAAACCGATCTTCCTGGGCTCAGAAGACTCAGACTCTTCGCTGAGTCTCAGTCTTGCGGACAGAGGAGTAGTAGAATATCGTAACTACAAAAATTTGAATGTTGAAAAAAGTTGGACAACCTAAGTACAGTGAGCAAATACTGAATGCCAGTTCTGTATTTTTCGAGCAGAGAGCACCGTAGAATCAGCCTTTCACGAACATTTCACATTCCTTTTTTGGGCTGGCACAATGATTCCATTTTTCATGTTTAGTCATAGTACTGAAGGGCACTATTTCTTGTGACGCGGCATCACAAATATTATTGTAAGAAGCAGTATGAGCCTGTCCTACAAGCTCCTCTCAAGGCATGGTCTCCTCCAATTTTGGCTCGTTTAAGTCATATGCTTCATAATATATCCTGTTTTAACTTAGGAAAAATGCACTTAATAGTAACAGTTTTAAAAGCAGGTTTTAATTCCCTGGTTGTGGAAGTTGTATGCTTTCCAATCCTTCCGGCACTACATACACGCTGCCTACAGTAACAAACACCCAGCGCGACTGATACCGGTACCAAGTTTCAGACAAATGCAGTAGTTCAAGGAAATAAGCAGATAAAGTTATAGATCCCTTGATTTAAGCAGTGCAAGGAATGATGCTTCCACTGCTTCCTTTGGTAATCTGGTTCAGAGTCTTAAATTATTAAGTAAAACAATACAGGTCAGTTGTTGCTTTAGTTATTACGTAGTCAACAAAACCGGAGGCTGGTTTTAGTCAACACTGGTATTTGTGGTTTAGTTTTTACAGGCACAACATCAGTGACAGCCAACCCTCCCCGCTGCAGCAGAGTCCCGCGACAGTTAACGCTACTTCTCTTGCCAACATGATTTATCCAAAACGTGGCATCTATGCAACAAAATATGGTTCTACCCTAGAACTAACTATCATCTAGGCTTACTTTACAGCCGAAATATTACAGTATCTGCTGCGTGGGGCTTTACAGATTTGATCTTCCGTTCCGACTCAAAAAGCTCTTGCAAACATCACTCTTCTACTCGACATCTTTGGTCAGCTTACCATCTTGTTTCTTCCACAGGCTTGTCCTTCTCCACCGCATGAGGATGAACACTTAGCCTCTCAAGACCTCATGCTATACCAGTATTAACTTCAGTTTCTATTCCGTCAGTTATTAAACCTGAAAGACACTCTCCTTTTGTGCTTTCTGCCATGCTACCTGACATTCTGAAGGAACTCTGTGAACATCATCCTTGCATTATGACACCCATAAAAACCTTGGCTGTGGGAGAGCCAGCAAGCTGAAACTGCTGTTGATCATTTACCATTTTTTCATCCACTCTCTCATCTCACCCTTTGCCCAGAAACACATAGACAACAGAGACCATTTTGACTGCGTTAGTATAATACCCAGTACAACAGAATATTTTAGTCTGCAGTCAAAATACCATAAACGGCAATTAAGGATGAGGCATGCCAAGATACCTGCAAGTAAGCTACTGTAACTCTTCAGTTAGTATCAGCCAATACTATAACGTTCAGTTTCGTCAAGGAGAGAAAAAAGAAAAGCAAAAGTAGTATGGGCAATGGACAGTGCAGTTTGTCATCCCTTAATCTGCCAGACTCAGGTATTGCTAAGGAGGCTTACCATCCAAACGTGAAAGCTAGAGATATCCACTTTCGCTCAGAAAGGATGAGTCTACTGACCTGACAGTGCAAGGTTTGTTTAAAAAAAAAGTCTGTAATGCTTAATAATAAATATTTATAGTCTTGCTATTCTGATAGCTTCACTGATTTCATTTGTCAGTTTGCTTGGCTAGGGTTTTTCGTTTTGGTTTTGTTTTGTTTCCCCTGTATATCTTGGCTTTTTACACTCGTGTTTCAACTGAAATTAAAACAGCAACAGTTTTTCTGAAACAGAAGACAAAAAAAAAAAGGGGGGGGGAGAGAGAGAGCCAGAAGATGGTTATAAGAAAAGAAATCCTAAGAATTACAAGCATTAAAAAGATACCATAAACAGTGAAGGGGCAATGCGTGAAATTTTTAGGCATAAAGCTCAAGCTGTTTCAAGCGTCATGAGCAGAGAAGAGAGCAGAGCTTGTCAGGTTAAGTCCACGTAAGACCTAGTGCCCCTTATATGCGAGGCCGGTGATCTCCAACATACCTGTGCTAACTTAAGAGCGCTCCCTAGAAGCCGAAACCTATCTTAATTCAATATTTACCAGGCTCATTTGTAAGAGGCGTTATTTACCGCTGAAACCGATGACACCCGAGACGCGCACGCCGGCGTCAGAC